CTCGCCTCCCGCCCTGCCCTCCGCCCAGCGGGCCGGCCTCTCGGAGTTTCGCGCTCTCCGCCAAAGCCAGCGCGCAGCCGGGCTTTCCTCCGGACCAACGCACGCAGCCCTGGCTGGGGGCCGCCGCCGGTTGGGTCAGGGTCTGCGGCGCGGTGCTGGGAGCTGCTGAACACCCAGCATAGCGTGTTCAGACGCGGGCTGGCATCTGCAACTTCAGGACTTTTCTTTCCCTTCGACTTGTTGTAACCTGGCGCTGCCAGCCTAAACTGTAGCTTCCGCCAGCCCTTGTTTCTACCTGAAGGTAGGAAACGCTTGCTGAATCCCTGCTAGGGCTGCAGGCTCGTTGCACTCAAGCGCTTCACTGTGCTGATCCTCAGCGCAGTCTTCTACTTTAGGTCATTGTGGATGGGGGAGGAAACACTAATTCATGATTTCACACGTGGGAATACAAGCCTTCATTTAAGTTTTGAAGCTCTCCCCTATGTCCACCAAAGAGAAATCAAAAGCAAAAAAGCCATTTAATCCTCCCAAGGGCCAGAGGGAAGAAATACCTCTGAAGCTTTAACCAAGAATTCTTACAAATCAAGTGGATGAGATTTGTAACTTGTGTCACCAGCACACTGTTGTTTGAACAAACCACAGCAATATACTTGATGTGCTTTCCCTCTGTTTAATTTAGTGGTGTTTCAGGTAGTGTAGTCATCTGTCAAAACAGATGCCTGCCAAAGATAGCAGTGTAATAATTATTTTCTGTTTTACAGAAGTTACTTTTTAATTAGAACATCTTCCAAGGGTTCTGACTTCTAATGCATCCGCAAATTTTGAAAATTCAGATCAGTCTTATATTGACCTAGTGCGCTTCCTCATCTACACACACCCCTCGCCTGTCTTGGCAGGAATCAAAAGTAATCTGAAGCAAGCTTAGTGCATAGCCTACAACAGACTTGGAACAGTTATTTGGTATTCGCTAAATTGCTGTTAGAATTTAGCTCGGATGCGATGAGCTTTGATCATGCAGTTCCAGTTACCTTAGTTTGAAAGACAAACTTTGTGCACCTAATGGAAAGAAGGTTAGTCCTGAGTATAGCTGGTTTACTAAGATGGTAAAGTTTGACAGGTGGTCTTTAAAAAAGAAAAAAAATTATTCAAAGTCAGTCCCACAGTAAAAGTACATAAACAGGTAAAGACACTGGAACTTTTACATAGTAAAACTTAACAGAGCACTCAGTGCTCAGCAGGCACTGAGAAGAATAATTTTTAAAACTTCTTTGATATCTACACGTTACTGCTTATTTGTATTATTCAGTGCAGTTCTGAAGAGCTGTGCAGGGTCAAACCTTCAGGAGAGGTTTTAGTTAAGATATGGAAATTTCAGTGAAGAAGGGTTCAGATAGCCTAGCAATTTAGGACTGGACTGGTTCTAGTCCTTAAAACACAGGATTTGACCTGAGAAATCGGTGTTAAGTATTAGAATACTTAAGTCTGTGTATTTTCAGATAACTTGCAAAAGCCAAGTTTGCTTTATTTTCAGAATTAAATACACACCCTTTTTTGCAAACTCAGTTGTTTGTGTCTCTACATTCAGGATTCTTTGTGCCTCTATTATTCTTGCTTTAAATGTGAAAGCTGGAGCATTCTTAACAATAGGCTGAGGAAAACTTGTTGAAAAATAATTGTTCAGTTATACTCAGTTCTGTCTTGAATCAGATATAAAATTAAACTTTAAAACAAGTTTACTAGTCTGAGTATAGCCCAGAATATATCGTTTATATATTTGGATCAGTTAAATCACTAGACAATAGCATGTCCTGTACAAGACCTTTAAGTCAGTGTCCATACAGTTTAATATATGGAAATGTGTTGTAATTGCTTCAGCTATACACATCCATTTCAGACAGACTAAAGTATTATTATCAAGAGGATTTCTGCTGCAAAAATGCTCCAGGCAGCAGCTTTTCAGAGTAATTTTTAAAGGCCTATGAACTTCTCATTGTTCTCTGTTAAACTGCACTGCTGTGTTCCTATTTCTGTATATTGGATAAACGTAGACATTTCATCTCATTAGGCTGTGTGTGATGGTATTTGCTTTTATTTTATTGAAAGTAGCATCCCAGACTTTTTCCATTATACAATTGGCTGATACTTTTATGGATTAAAAAGCCATATTACCCTGTTCAGTAGTTAGCACAAATAACTATGTCATGGTTTAACCCCAGCCATCATCTAAGCACCACGCTCACTCACCTCCCCCCCAGCGGGATGGGAGGGAGAATAGGAAGGGTAGAAGTGAGAATGAAACTTGTGGGTTGAGATAAAAACAGTTTAATAATTAAAAATAGTTTAAAAATTGTACAGAAAAGAAAAAACCAAAACAGAGAAGAAAATAAAAGCCAAGAAAAACAAGCAATACAAGTGAAAACAATCGCTCGCCACCAACCAACGCCCAGCCAGTCCCCAAGCACCAGCCCCCCCACCAGCCTGCCCCCCAGTTTTATTGCCGTGCATGACAGCATATGGTAGGGAACATCCCTTCGGTCAGTTGGGGTCAGCTGTTCCAGCTGTGTCCCCTCCCAACTTTTTGTGCCCCTCCAACCTGCTCACCAACGTGGAAGTCTGAGGAGCAGCAAAAAAACTTGACACTGTGTAAGCACTGCTCAGCAGTAACTAAAACATCAGCATGTTATCAACACTATTTTCAGTATAAATACAAAACATAGCCCCATACAAACTACTGTGAAGAAGTTTAATGCTATCCCAGCTAAAACCAGTACTTTATGCTTTTTAATTTTTCTGATTTTTGTCTTTGCAGAGTAGTGTATAGGTGATCATTAATATCCCAGTCAGGTTGTATTCATTGTAATTAAGGTTCTCGGAGGTTTTGAAAGCAAATTAATTCTTTTCTTTTGTTAGAAATGTCTTTTATGTTGTAGTAGAAAATAGTGCAAGATGGGCTCAGGCTCTGATGTTTTGGGGCCAGCACTGGATTTGCAACAAACTTTGGCACGGCTACAAGACCACTCTGCAGTAGCTAGCTTTGTATTTGGTAATTGTATTTGTGTTTAAATAACTGCCCAACTTTTACATCCAACAGACATGGCACTCAGTTGGAGAGCTGCATGCAAAGGCCACGTGACTACAACTGCACACATCTAAACCCACTGATCTCTGTGTATACCGCAGGCTGCTTCTTGAAAAGGCTCAGGTTGATTCTGTATGTGTTGACTTGCACCTGGTATACAGAGGAAGAACACAGAAAAGGGCTATTGGGTGTGAATTGCTGACATCAGACAGCCTGCGCAGCCTACCTTCAGCGGCTTTTTTTTCCTAGAAACTACTTGGAAACAGGATGGGTGAATTGTTTAGCCATCAGCAGTCCCTCCCTGTGGGCCATCTGCGCAACAGGTCTTGACTGGCAGGGATTCTGCCAAGAGAGGGGGGCCCCCAGAAAACTGATGACCAGAGCAGGTTGCTGTCTGAACAATTCATCCACCTCATACCTTGTTCCCAGCTTGCTTTTGAGAAAGTAATGCTACTAAATGTTTTTAACTGATACTTATTGTAGCTGGGAAAAAAATGCCTCTGAGAGGAATACAAGATGTATGGTTTAATTCCAGAATTAAATTCAGTGTATTGTTACTCATCTCTAAACTAGAAGGCTATAATTTCTTTACATGTTTTTTTTAAATTAAAAACCTAGTTTATAATGCTTTAATTTAAACCTAGTCTGTCAAGCTTACAGCTAAAGGTTTGCAGCACAAATCTGATTGATTTTAATGCGTTCTCTAGGGTGATCTTCACAGAAACTACTAAAGACTTCAAAGAACTCATTTTAAGCAAAATAAGTGAAATAAGTTGTTCTGATAAAGTAAAATGGATCCTTGTTCAGTTGGAGTTCAGCTTCAAGCTACCAATGAATGCCATAAGACCTATTATACTCGTCACACTGGCTTCAAGACTAAGCAAGATATTTCTTCATCTGACCTGCTTCTACTTCAGCTTAGGACTGGAATATCCCTTTCAGAGAACAATACAATCTGCTTCCACCATGCAAAAATTTACATTGAAAGATTTGAAGACTTGCAAAAATCATGTTGTGATCCCTTTAATATACACAGAAAACTATCAAAGAAAAACTTACGTGCAATTGACTTAGATGATGCAACTTTTTTAAGTGCCAAGTTTGGAAGACAATTTGTACCTGGTTGGAAGCTTTGTCCCAAATGTATGCAGATAATAAATGGAAGCGTGGATGTTGAATCCGAAGATCGCCAAAGAAGAAAACTCGATTCGGACGTATGTATATGGATCAGTTGTCCCACCCCCACTAAGCTCTGCAAGCTATTGAAATTGGGCTTCATACAAGTCCTACATAAAGAAATTAAGATTTTTTTAATAGAAATATGAAACTGTGTCGTCTTTTAGATGTGTGAGAGTTTGCCTTATTTGGAGGACCTTAAAAAAATCCTCTTCCCTAGCTAAATGTAATGGCCTTTTAAATTCAAATGATTCTGTGTACTAGGGTGAGTTACAACTGGTAAGTTTATGTAAATACGAGACTGCTGCTGGTATTTTAAGCTGTTACTCAAGCCTTACAGAAAACAAGCTCACATGCTTAAAACTGAACCCTGCAAAGGTTGCTTCTAAGGATGTTGAGATAAACTTCTGGTTTAGTCTCTTCAGTTTAAAAGGAACCACACACTTTCTCTAGCAGTTCATTACCAAGTGAACAGGGATTGAGGTGAATTGAGTGTACTCTTGTTGTGTCTGAGCTGTGAAGGCCACGGCATTTATTCAGGGGCAGTAATGAACTGGTGTGGGAGTATAATGCTTTAAGTGCTGAGTTTGGCATGCAGCTTATGCATTGTTGGATGCATTGTTCAAGGTGTATGCAGGTAGTCAGTGGAAGTGTGGGCAACAAGTGAGCAAGAGCTCCTCCGTACATGCCCTGCAGCAAAACAGAATTGTCTTCTAGGAGCTGTTGTCCCTTTCAGCCCAGGGGATGTTGCCCAGCTGTATTTTTCAATTACATGTCAGTATGATTAGGAGACTGCTAGGGGGTCAAATTTGAAAGCATTAATTACAACTGCTACTGTGAAGCTTGTATTGTTGGGGTTTGAGACTGGTACGGGTCTCCAGTATAAAATTCCAAGACTTAAGTTGTTTCTCCTGGGAAATCCAGTGCTTAGAGTTCAGTTCAACAATTTACCTAAGTTACTACAATTCTCCTGGCTTGACTGGACATTTTCTCATGAATTTAGGTTTGTATTTGTAATTAAATGAGACTTTCTGTCTTTGTTCAGGGGCGTACAGCTAAGGCTTTAAAGTCTCTGCAGTTTGCTAATCCAGGACGACAGACTGAATTCACTCCTGAGACCAGTAAAAGGGAAAAAAGAAGGCTGCAAACAAAAATTGCATCATTTAATTCCGACAGGTGAGCTGTTTTCTGTATTTATATTATCTTTAACTTTCACTTCAAAATAAAACAGCCTTGATGGTCAGTGTCCCTGTAACACTAACATTTTTTGTATGGATGTTTGCGTTTATGGATTGCTGAGGATGTTAAAGCTCACACTTATTACTGAGATAAACAAAACAGAAGATAAAGTATTAGCATACAGTCCATATTTCAGGCAATTAGATTACAAACAAGTATTTGGTGAGGCATGACAATATTACACAAATCATAGATGAGGCTATTTATGCATAAACTAAAATTCTGATAATAGGCTAAATTTTAATACAGTAAGATCAAGCAGAGTACACAAAATATTGGAGTTTTCATCTTTCAGTAAACTTGGTAATCATACTTCGTAAACAAAAGTGTGCAAGTTAGGACCTTACCTCCCTTTTAAAAAAGGAATTTAATGTCCAAGTTGGATGATACTAGACAACAAATTATGACGTTCTAGTGTGACCGATTTTAAAAATGATGCTATCTACAGAGGACAGCTATAGTAGCTGAATTTTGTCTGTCACTTTCCACTAAAAGTGTGGACCAATTCAGTCTTGTCCTAATAGGAGAGTGATTGAAGTCCCAGCTTTAACTAGTTGTATAATATTTGATAAAACATGCAAGAAAGATCACATTAATACCTTTCCCCTGCTCTCCACCCAAGTTTAACTTTACAGTACGGAAACAGACGCTAGGTGTGCTGTTCACAAACCACACATCCTTTTCCCCTCCATTTGTTTCTTCTGCTCAGTTTGGGTACAAGTTGCAGCTAGGGAAATTTTGATGAACATTAGGAAATTTTTTTTATGTACATAGTAAAACACTGGATCAAAAGTGTTGTGGCATCTCTGATGTTAGAGCTATTCAGAACTCAACTAGATGCAGCCCTAAGCAACCCAATTTGAGTTGACCTAGGTTTGAACAGAGGATCAGACAAGATGACTTCCAGAGGTCCCTTCTCAGAGTTTTTCTCTGATTCTGCAGTTTAACAGAACTGTTACAGGGATAGATAATGTTAAAAGCATAAAAAAATATTTTAAATTAGGATGTGCGCACCGTAAATGATTCTATGTGACCTCCTTTGAATTACTGCTACACATTACAAAAGAGAAGTAAATTAAGGGAGCATTTCACATCATCCGAAAGGTAATCTGAAGTTTGCATCATACAACTAAGAATACTCATAAGTGGTTGAATAAGTGTGCTATTGAAGAAAGAAAAACTTCCCATTCTTGAAATTATTTCAAAAGCACTATAGTGGAGGTACAATTAGGACTGAGAAATGTTGTCAAATACAGTAATACAAATCTTTTAAATTAGCAGAGTGTTAAAATGAACACCTGAAGAAAGCAAACTTCTGTCCACAACTTTTAGCAGCTTGACATCAAAATAAGTGGATTTCTAACATGGAAGTAACTGTTCGTTTTCATTATACAGGCAAGTTATACCAGCTAAGAGTAAAGTCTACGATAGCCAGGGACTGCTGCTTTACAGTGGGATGGACCTCTGTGATTGTCTTGATGAAGATTGCCTGGGATGTTTCTATGCTTGCCCCAAGTGTGGCTCCAACAAGTGCGGAGCTGAATGTCGCTGTGACCGCAAGTGGCTCTATGAGCAAATTGAAATAGAAGGAGGAGAAATAATTAGAAATAAGCATGTCGGTTAGTGTATACGTGCATTGTTTATCCTGAATATATACTCTATGCTTTGGTTAAATGCAGTACATTCATCATTTAATGTTTTAAATGAAAGCTATTGGAATTTATCACAATCCACATGATTAATGTGCTCACTTTCACAATTCATTTTCAGTATGATTATGGAAATATTCTTAATCATACTACTGTCTTTTCACACTTCATTCTACCTTGTACTCAGTCTTGCTAGTCATCCAAACAGGTTCTCATTGAACAGTCTTTTACTGTATTTAAGTATAAGGTACTGAATTTGCATTTGACATTTCCTGAGCCACTCACCATTGTTTCATATACTGTTTTGTATAGTGTACCATCTCCATGTATCCCTCATTTTTCGTTCTGTAGTTCAGGATCTCATGGTTTTGAATCTGTTTTATGTGAAACACTAAAAGGTCAGTAAATTTTACGTGCAGTATTAATAAAGCTGTCTCGAGGACTAATAGCAAACACTGTATCTTCTATAGATTATCCCAGATACATCTGATAAATTCAGTCCTATTCACTTAAATGGCTTCAATGCATTTTGGAGTTCAGATCTCATCCAACTTACTGGGATTTGAGATCAAGTTATCCTTAGGAATTCAAGCCTCACTGTTAAAGTGTTATAAAACTGTCAAGGGTTTGAAAATACATTAAAGTAATTATCATACTGTTTTGTTGGTTTCTGAATAACACAACTGAAATAATCTTGTTGCATTTGTAATCAGTCTGTAATTGGACTGGAACTTCAGCAGCCCTCTCCCCTTTTTTATTTTTTGCTTGGTTTTAAGGTAAACATTTACATGCAGCTGAAATGAATTTGAGTGTCTGTTCTCAAACTAAGAATATTCAGACTGCTACAACAAAAACCATGTTGAATTGAAATTGTATTTGGTTGATGCACTATCTATCCTCAGAATATTAAAATCTTACAATATGACAAGATTATGGAAAAAAGATTTTACAATTGAAATCTTAGTAACATTGACTATTGTTCCTTGTTATTTTTCTTGTGTTTTGGGTAAATTTCCTGATTCTGTGATAGTATTGGAAGATCTGCACATTTATTGGATCACATTTATTCAAGAGTATTGTTAACTATTGATTTCTGAAGACTTATTTAATAAAGTTCTATAATCTTGATATTTGTTTCAAGTATTTTCTTTTCTGATAAGTGTCATGAAGGTTGCATCGCTAAAAATCAGAAGTTATGCTCTGAGTTGTACTGACATCTGCTGGTCCTAGTAAAATATAAGCGTCAACCTGTACTATGTTTTTATTAAATCTGCTACAAAATTACACATTTTCTTTTTCTGGTCAGAGCATTGGCTGTTCTTCCAGATGTCTCCCCATTGGCCTTGGATTCCAGCCGCATTTACCACAAGAACCATCATGTGAGTTTGTTTAGAGAGAGCACCACACTTTACACACTTTTCCAGACAGCAACACCACAAATGAGTAATAGCCATGGCTTCCCTTACATGCAAGTGGCATTTAAAACATTTGACTTTGTTGACCACAGAGCATGCTTATCCTGACACAGCAATTAACCACCTGTGCCTGATCCACCTTTGGAACCATTTCACCTTTTAAGCAACCTTTTGAATTAGATGAAAATATAAATAGATACCTCCATGAAAGTGAGACGGGGAAAGCTGGTCCAATCTTGTAATTTTAATGTATTTACTATTTTAAATTAGACCAGAGTCACAGTACCCGTTGTTAGTAAACTTAACTTCCAGCTGTAGGCTTCCTACTGTTTGATGAATATAACTTATTACTTAAGTCCCCAGCTAGACTTTGAGTTCACTAACCATTAAAGCATTTCACTGAAGTGAAATGCAAGTCTACCAGTAGCTTAAATTGCCTAGAGCATCCCAATATTAGAACTGGATTTCTCTGTCTCCATTAAGTGTCCGAAAAGCATATTCAGTCTCTCATTTTACAGATTCACTAGCAATGAGTACTTTCCCAAATAAATCACTCAACTTTTCCTAAAAAATGCATAGGACTTCTGTTTGACTAAAAACCTGCGTTATATACTGAGTACTGTTGATTGCTATAGAAGCTACAGGAGCCCTAGGGTTTGGTTTTTTTCCCAGTAAAACAGGACCTTTTGGTGTTGGTTTTTCACATGTCCTGCTTACATATTTAGGACATTTCCATTTAGCTGTATTTCCTTAACATGCCTAGGTTGCAGTGTGTTATTAAGTTCAATAATATGTTTTTTATACACTTTCATGTCCTTTTCATCTTTTTTTCTGTGAAAAGGCATTGTTGCAAGTCAAACTTTACCATCTCTCTAGGTTTAAAATGCTTACAGCTATGAATTTCTCTGATTTTTTTTCTGCATGTTTTTATGAACACAAACTTACCCCATCAGCGTAGTACACAAGCTATTTTATCACCACCTAGAAACAATTGCTTATTGCTCCCAATAGCATGTGTAGTTCCCCATCTTTCAGAATTACTCTACAGCTAAGCCCGTTAAACAGTGTGTTTTTACTATAGCCAAAGCAAACAACTACTTTCCACAAAAGCCAAAGTTCATAAACCAGGTATAACCACCACTTTAGACTCTGCATGCATTACAGAGAAAAGCCAACTGCAGATAGACCCCGGCTGCCATGTTAAAACTTGCCTTTTGATAGTCATTGCAAAAAACAATGCCTAAACAAAGTTTATATATCCAAAGGACAGACATCAGTGACAGCAGAAGAACCTGGGTTATAAATACATATCCCATGGATCAATTTGAGTTTATTGAACGGGAGCTCCAGATTTGTGATCTCTTAGGTACAGTGTTAAGCACTGTTTGGTTTCTTTCTCACACAGAGCGAAATTCACATCAAGTTCAGAACACAGTCAAATTTAACATCATCTAAAGTCAGTGAGAGTTACCACAGAACATTGGGATCATACCCGAAGTCTCCCTTAGGGGAGCTGAAAGTTTCACACTGATGAAACATGCCCTGGGATGCTTCCTGTTAAATACTCAAATAATAATAGTACATAATCAAATAAGAATATAGTACAGTCAGGTAGTTAACTCAGCAGAAGTGTTATATTAACATTTTTGGCATCTATGCTACTGAAGGCATTTATCTTTGGGAGATACAGTATAACCTTGTCCTTAGATACAGCAGGAATTCGGTTTTCTTTTAATCAATTAAGTTCATAACTCGTAGAAACTAGCATAAGGAGACTAATTTTTGGATCTCTTGGCTGACTACTCAGGACATCAGAAACAGCAGAAAGTGGACTTACACAAAAATGCATGTTTTTATAAATCCAGAAGTCAGAATTAAAGCCTCTAAGGGAAAAAAGAAAACAGAGATAAGGTAACTTTTTTTTTTTCTGATTTTAGACCTGTTTTAATGTTCTTTTTAGCCCTTTTGTATAAGTAGTTCCTATGTTAGCCAGAATGGACCAACCGCACAAGAGCTCACACTGAAATCCCGCAGTGACATAGCTACACCAGGGTAAGTGTTCAGGCGAGCATCTTTCACCCATTACGTGACAGAAATGGCTGCAACTTACTGGAATCAGCATTAAAGCCTTGGCGTTCTCCTAGTCTCATGAAAAAGCATAAACATACAATTTCCAGTTTCAATTACTTTGTTTTCCTCTAAAATTAGACACACATTTTTGGTCATATTCATGTCTTAATAAATACACAGTTGTCTCTGTATTTTTCAACTGATTTCTCAGTGGTATGTAGGATGTACAGGCATGCAGTAGCTTGTCCCTCATTTATCCAGATAATTTTCCCCAGTAATTCTTCAGCAAACATTCTTAAAGTTTTATTCACCTTTATACTGACTTCTAGCCAGTAAATATCATGCTAAGAACAGCTTTATTTGAACAGGCCAAACAGTTCTCTCCAACTTGAAGTTATACATGCTTTTAAATCCTACTAATAGCAGAGGAACAGTTTATTAAAAGGATTGTATTTGTGTTTAAAGACCTTTAATTACATGTTGCATCTAATATTTACCCATGTGGAAGCCATAACCAGAACTAGTCTTATATGCATTCACCACTATTACATTTCAAATTAACAGTTCTCCTCCAAGCACATATTAAGAAAATATTGTAGGGGGATGTGAACAATTGCAATTAAACTGCCCAGTTCACTCTTAGCAGGGTTTTTGTGTTCAAAACTCACTATCTTCCTCTGAAATACGGGGTTTACATAATAGAAGTTTCTCATACCCAGCAGAGGGCATCAGCTTACTGCAAACCTGACCATATACTTCTGGTGCACCTCTTGGAGATGCATCCCCAGTCCTCGGAGCAGAGGGGATGTCATTATTGGACAGATTCAGGAATCGAGCCCAAGACAAGAGACACATGTCTCAGCCTGCAAGGTTGAAGTATAGCAGACTCAAGTACAAGATTAGCACTTAAAATTACGATAAATTGATTTTCTTTTTGGTCTTTATAAAAGCTTCTCACCCACCCGCTCCCCCCAAATACTTGCCAATTGTTAGTGAAGTAGAGATCAACATAATTCTTGTACATTTACGATTTACAGTGTTTGCTATGAAACCTTGGTTTAAAGCTTCTACCTAAGGATTCCCTCAGAAATTCAGTATTAGGTAGCTGAGAAACCCACTCGCGGCAGGGTCCTGCACTCATTAGCAAAACAAGCCATCCCCACTGGTGCTGCTGCCAGGGTGCAACACACAGCAAAGAACCACACATCTTGTTTTCCAGACAAACAGATAAAATACTCTGGCAGTAATTTACCAGAGTAGCTACAATAGCAACCAGAAGCAGCCTAGCATACGCCATGGTAGGCCAGGGGAGGGGAAGAAACGAGGGGCAGCT